CACCTGCAGCTCCTGCCACACCTGCCTGGCCAACTCCTGCATGCCTCTGGGGCTGTGCGGGGAAATCTGGTCTATCCTGTGACTCTGAATCGGGGGCCTGGGGCAGAAAGACCACAGGCCAGGGTCCTCCCTTGCCTGGTATTTGTCGGGGGATCAAACTTCGGTTTAAATACTGAGCAAACTCGACCAAGGCGACCCTGGATCCGAGCTCCTTTCTGAACGCTTTGCCCAGCACTCGGTACATGCCCAGGGGCCACAGGGCAGTGCGCACGGCCTTCTGGAATTCCTCCTCCCCGCAGTCGTCAGGGATGCCCAGGATGAGCAGGGAACGGTGCTCGTTCACGCCCATCCACCTGCACCAGTCATGCAGTATGGTCAGTGGCGTCGCCATTGCTGAGAACCTGAGGGTGGAGAGAAAGGACTAGACAGGGACACACAGACTTTCACAATGTGAGCCTCAGCCTGTGGGTGCAAAGGGGTGAGAGGCATGTTCATACCACACAGCCTACCCTACCACATAGCCAAAGCCCAGTGTCCCTCACAGTGGTGGCCTGTAGCACCTCCACTCCCCATTTTGTTCAGTTTTAGAAAACTTTCTTGGTAATACACTAATTCATTTACTAGATGTAGGCCTGATCCTATTTTCTATTTTTCTGGCATCACTTTAAGGAAGTTGCTTTTTTGGGACGCCTGGGTGGCTCAATCGGTTAAGCATCTGCCTTCGGCTCAGGTCATGATCCAAGGGTCCTGGGATCAAGTCCCACATCAGGCTCCTTGCTCACCAGGGAGCCTGCTTCTCCTTCTGCCTTCCGGTCTCCCTGCTTGTGTGCATGCGCACAGGTGCTCTCTGTCTCTGACAAATAAAATCTTAAAAAAAAAAAAAAAAGTTGCTTTTTTTACCAAAGAAGTATGTCAAGTATTCAATTTTTTGACATAAATTTTTCCATAATATTCCCTGCATTCTTTTTTTAACGTCTGTCTGATCTGTAGCAATAGCACTCTTTCATTCCTGATCTTGGTAATAAGTGTTCCTTCCCTTTTCTCTTGATTAGTCTCACTAGGGCTTTAACAGTTTTGTTTCTCTTAAAAAAAAAACAAATATAAGGATTTGTTAAATGCCTACAGTTGGCTTTCTATTACTGATTTACTCTCTTAGCTGTAGTATTTTTTCAGCCAACTCATTTTGCATTTAGTTTATTTTTTTAATTTATTTTTAATTTTAATTTCTTTAAATGGACCATTAGGTCACTGATTTTATGTCCTTCTTTTATAATAAAAGTACTTAGAGTAATACATTTTCTTCTGATTGTTTCTTTAGCTGCCTGACTAATTTGGGTAAGTTGTATTTTTTTTTTTTATTAATCAGTTTGAAATATTTTCTAAGTTCCTTCGTGTTTTCTTCTTTGAGCCACGGGTTTCCAAATATTTAAAGATATTTTATTATTATTAATTTTATTTTATAAAATATTCTATCTGAGAGAGAAAGAGAGAGAGAGAGAGAGAACGCGCGCGCGTGCGACCGCGCACGGCGCACAGGAGTGAACACGAACAGGGGGAGGGGCAGAGGGGGGAAGCGGACTCCCTGGCAAAGGTAGACGCTTAACCGACTGAGCCACCCAGGCGCCCCTATTATTATTAATTTTAGATAAAATTCCGTGAGGCCAGAGAAGTTATTATGCAAAAGCACAATCCTTTAAAATTTATGGAGCTTTTTTATGGCCCAACATACGGTGTATGTGGGTGAATGTGCAAAGCACTCTTGTAACGAATCTTTATTTTCTGTGGAGGACAAGGTTTTGCACCTCCCCCTGCTGGAATCCCTCTGCCATCCCCCACAGAGGCGACCCAGAGCCCGTGGGATTCCAACTGCAGCGGGCCAGAGCCCCTCCGGAACCCCGCACGTGCTCAGCCGGCGGCCCCACGTTCCAGCCCATCCGCCTCCCCTCAGCGAGGCGCCATCCTGTTTGCGCAGCCGCAAAGCTGTCCTCCAGTGCAGCGCCCCCACCGCGTGGTAGAGCCCGTCTAGGCTCTCGCAAGCAGGGCGCCCCCACAGGCTTAGACGGAACGTCCGCGTCCTCACAGCGGGGAGCTAGCGCTCCCCTCTCCCGCCCCAGCTAGGAAGCCTCCCCTCCCATACTCTCCACACCCGCAGCCCGGCACCGTCCCTGTGGCCCCAAGAAGCAAGGTGCCCTCCCAGTTGGCGCGCCCCGCGCCAGCGCCTGCAGTGGCTCGGGCCTTGGCTTCTGGCCTCCCCGCGCCAAGCAGGCCTCCCGGTAGCGCCGGCAGCCGGGGGTCCGTCCCTCCGCACAGCCCGCGCGGGAGCCCTCGTTCCTGCCAGGGGCAGCTGGCGTCCTCCCCTCCCAGCTCCCGCACAGCTCCATAGCTCCCCTCACGCCTCTCCGGTCGAGAGTCCTCTCCGTCGCCCCCCCGCCCCTCCCCCACACAATAGCCGTTAGCCCCCCCCCCCCCCCCCACCCCCCCACCCCCGCCGCATCCGGAGCCCGGAGGAGCCCTCCTCTCCCACACTCCCCCCACCCGCAGCAGTAGGCCCTTCCTCCAGCCCCCAAAGCTAGCCCCCAGGCGCTCGGGAGGCAACCCTGCCCTCTCAGCGCCCCACCAGGGAGTCGTCCCCCGCCGCCTTCCCCCCACAGCCTCCAGCAGCCGGGAGCCCTCCCTTCCCATGCCTC